CTCTCTCTCTCTCTCTCTATCTCTCTATCTCTCTCTCTATCTATCTATCTATCTATCTGTCTTACACGATTTCTCGGTCTCCCTTTCTATCGCACTATCTCTCTATCTGCCTATTATAATATACTTCCTGCCTTTCTTTCATTCACGCCTGCTCCTTGTACAAATCTTGTTAGATGGGGAACTGAAATATTTTTGTGTTCAAATATGCTAGTAGTGAAGACGACACTTACAAAACAAACTAGAGTACTCTTACTTTATTTGTTCCACGATAAATATTCTGTAATTTTGTTTAATAGTTTGTTTGGTTGTTTTGTTTAGTTTGTATTTTGAGTTTGTTTACTAATTTTTTGTAATATTCATTTTTTTAAAATTACTTTTTGATTGTTGATTTTTTATTTATGTTTTATTTTTATTTTTATTTTTGAGGGGAGGGGGAGTCTTCTTCTTATGTGTACCGCCAAGTGTTAGTTAACCCATTTACGAGTCATTTATTATAAAAACAAAATTACATGTCATGGGCTTGTTTATAAATGTACTAAGGCCATTTTTTTTTCAAATTGCAGTTTCGTAATTTATATTATCGGATACATGTGCTCGATAATTAATTTAAAAAAAAACAACAACAAAAATTTGAATGTAAAAGAAAGAAAGCTGAGATACATAAAACATATACAGTTGTTTAAGAATAAAATAGCCTTCATTTTAAAAAAAAATGATTTGGCGACGTTATGGTCATTCAACTTCGTCTCTCGAAACTGTGTTCCTTCCGTTTTTCTTTTCCCCGAATACCCATTCAGCAAATTTGTCTTTGTGGAAATCAATCTTGTCTTTATTTTATCTTATCTTATCTTATTTTCTTATCTAATCGTATCGTATCTTATCTTATCCTTTTATTGTGTCGTCCTCATCTTTCCTTCTTCCTATCATTGTATGCTAACCTCCTGTTACACTCTACTCTTCGGCACTTGTGTAATTTTTTTTTTCTTAATTTTTTTTTTTCCTCAGGTGAAGAATTTGGCCCTGCCGTCTCTGCATGAACAAACCACATCACCCAAGAACCGGAAGTGACGTCTCGCTAATTCTTCACAAGAAGAAGAAGAAGACAGCTTTTTTCGACGTCATCGGTTCTTTTTTATGTTGTATTATATCATATTTGTTTGAGTCTGCATAATCACCAAGCCTTCAATTGTTTTTTGTTAAGGATCATTCGTTTTTTGAAGAAGAAACTAGCAGCACTTCAAGCACTTTGTACAGACCATTGTATCATCATCATTATCACCATAACGTTGTCTTAAATGCGCACTGTGTGAGTTTTTGAGGTTTGTAGGTTTTCAAAAATATAATATTATTACGTCATCAATATCTGCTACTGGCGCTCATATGACTTTATGCAGTTGCGAGCGCCGTAGAACATCTACCAAAACAACAACATCTGCTACATATATGTAATCTTACTGGGGCTGACGTCAAGGTCACAGTTTGCCAAAAATTGGAACAAGACTCATTGAAACTGCTGAAGGAAGAAAATTCTACTGAGATCCAGCTTTTCCCAGCTAGTCAAAGTCGGAGAAAATCAACTCGATCGAAATATTCTCTCAGAAAGGAAAGAAAACAAGATATAAATCTCATCAAATTTCTCTACGGATTTTCTAGTTCAACACCGGATTCATCTCTGATCACAGGCGCAAGAACACATCCGATTTTTCTCTCCTTTCTGAGCAAAATGCCAAGTTGAAAAGCCAGATTTTCCTCATTTACCTTCACGTGTCGGCGAGGGAAGTGTACAAAATTAACCAGCAGTGAAAAAAATTCCACAACTTGACGAGAGAAAATATAACAGGGAACAGCGTTGCTATTAGCAACCGTTAAACTGAATTCCTCTTCGGAAAGCACTGATAACCAAGCTAAAGCAAGTGAGATTACATATATTTGAAAGTTTGAGCTTGCATTTTTCTAACAGCAAGCCACAGATAAGCTGGACAAAATTGTTTTGTATTTCCTCACAATATTTATAATGTATTCAACTCATAATATTTATTAAACTGTTTGTGGAGAGAGACTGGAAATAAGTGTTGCACATATTATTTTCGAAGTAATAGGATCAGAGCTCCTCCTATTGGGATTCATATACTTATCCTTTCCCTGTTGTTAAGTTAACAACAGGTGTTGCGAGAGGCACCAAGGAGCATAAACCAAAACACTACAAGGTCTGCACCCAGAAAGACCTCCGTTCGTCTTTGTTGGGTTTTTTTTTCTTTTTGTGGAAGGCAGACCCGATGAATAAGCGAACCTTTCGACTGAGAAAACGTTAATCAAGAAAAAGCGGACTGCATTGAGACGAAACGTTTAGTGTTGAGATTTTCAAGACTGAACCTTCGACAATAAACTGAAACAGCAATTCAGCTTTATTCTCGATAAGTAAGGAAATCTTTGAAGAAACCCTTACAGAAGAGAAACCCTTGAAATTCCGCACAGCTGTGCCTCTCTATCTCTGGCTAGCAGCACCGAGGGTCGCTTTCAGCCCTCGCCACAAGACGCCTCGGTTGTTGTCTTTGGTAGACATGCGAGGTCAGAAAGTCTCTGGGCAAGCGCCGAGTATCGCGGAAAGTCTGATACTAAGCGTTTCCAGCAGAGTTATCTACCCACGCGCATGGCAGATACTACAGCCAAGAGATATATCGAGTATTCAGTTACACCAAGACATAAGGTGTAACTAGATCTTTTAAAGTTTAGAAAATACAATTTTTGCTTAGCGGTTCTGAGCCCTCTCATTACTGCACCATGGGGAACCGACAGGGATCTCAAAAGCAAAAGGAAGCAAAATCCAAGGAGGAGAAGAAGCGAGAGAAAGAAACGAAGAAGGATCAGGAGAAGCAGAGGAAGAAAAAGGAAAAACTGAGGAAAAAGAAGTCCGGTGGAGGTCACCACGGTTCGGGATTGGACACGGACTTGGAAGACTCGAGTCACGTGACCGGAGGGGATTCCGAATCAAGCGTGTTCCATTCGGCAGAAAACGTGTCCGCCAGCCCGTATTTGGACTCGTGCACCCGCTCTGAGCTGGAGCAAGTCCCTATGGACGGGTCAGCGGCGAGTTTTACCACTCGCTGGGGCGGCCCGGCTTCCTCAGCCTCTGCATATCAACTCCACAACCAACAGTACCAACAACGCCACCAAGACTCACACCACTTTCATCATCATCATCATCATCATCAGCAACATCATCACCATCAACGAGATCGTGAATTTTTATATCTGGAACAGCAGCACCCTATGGTGCTCTCCTCAAAAGACTTCAGAGACGGGTTTTCTCTCGAGGCTTTCATCCCGCCCGAGATCGCCCGGCGAGAAACCTCGTCCTCCTACCTCGACGACTCCCCAATGACCTCCATCTCCCGGGCGGACGGGCGAGGGCGGAGCGGCAGCAGCGTCAAGTCCAAACGCAGCACCACGAGCGACAGCGTCAAGAGCAGATCCTCCAAATCCTCACACGTAGCCCCGACGTTTTCCTCTCACCACGCCACGCCCACCTCTCTGAGATCGCACACAGGCGAAGACTCCGCTTCGATGACGTCATCTCAGACCAGTGCGGGGGGTGGGGCGGGAGGGTATAGCACACCGTTATTGTCCACCCCAGTTTTTGGTCGGGTGGAGAGGTCACACTCGCCGCTGTCGGCAACCGCGTCCACGTCCTTACCTAGAGTGCGGGAGGTGGAGAGAGGGGATAATGAAGAGTGTTCACCCTTACTTGATCACACATCAGGTAGCAGGGAACCATCATCCCCGCTATCACAAAACACTTCTCTACACCATCATCCGCATTTTTTTAATCATCAACGAAACCAGAAACAACAACAACAACAAGAGTTAAAACCAACGCAAAAACAATTACAACAGCTTCAACAACTCAGCAACGAACATTATCTCATTGAACAGCAACAACTCCGAAACCAGCATCAACAAAATCTGAGTCATCCTTTCCCTGGCTGCCCCCCTGATTACCGAAATCTCCCCAAACCCTTATCTCCCCACCCGCAGAGGAGAGCTCTTTCTCCGAAAATGACGTCAGCGCCTTTTAAGCTCATCTCGTCCGATGACTCATCCTCAAGCCCTACCACTCCCGTACCACAACGCCGTGCAGCAAACTTTCTAGATCTCTTGAGACCTGGAAGTAAAAACGACAAAAACAACAGTAAGAAAAACAAGAGAGGCGGCGAAAAGGGAGGCCGGAGTGGAGGAGGAGGAAAAGGAGGAGGAGGAGAAGGGGGTGAAGAGGATGAAATGTCGACTCCGCGAGGTGGGAAGGGGGGCAAAAGTGACTCGAGTACCAACACGAACGAGAGCGACGGGGGGAAGGTGAAAACGAAACCCAAGTGGAAAACTTGGGAGAGGAGTTCTAAAAAATCGGGAGAGAGGCAGAGCAAAGTGTCCATGATATTTGGCACGGTGAGGAAAAGTGATAAGAAAAAGAAAAACGTTCAGGATAGCGGCATTGGTGGAGACGGAAAAACGGAAGTTCAGAACGAAGAAAAGCAAAAGAAAAGTAAATACAGTGTAGCAAAGAGCCAAATGCCTCTTGTTGGGTGCTCCAATAATGCACAAATGGTCAACGACACTGAACCCGGGGCCTCAAATAAAATACAGACGTCCAGGAAAGGTCACCAGGAAAGGGGAGATAACTCAGACGTACTAAACAGGAATAACCGAAACAGTAGTCCCCCCATGGTCAAGTCTGCCGCGTTTTGTATTATGAGATTGGAAGAATTAGAACGAAACATTGAAAATACAATACGGGAAAAATTCCCGGACGCAGAACCCTTTTTATTAAAGAAAAGATCCAAAGACGAGGAGTTGAAAGGATCAAGGTCTTTACCGACTACCCCGTCCTTGAAGAAAAAGTTGTTCATAGCTCGAGATGTGGACGGTAGCAAACGTCACAGCGGAAACAACGAGGACGTAACCCGTAACCTAAGCGCCGTCAGTTCCAAACTGTCCGACGCCGGTGCTAGAGGAAGTGACGCAACCTACGAGTCACTTCCGAGTCCTGCCATGTCGCCTGTCGTGTTGCGTCGTTTTGGCGCCCGCACGCGCCACGCTAGCATCTCGCCCAAAATCCAGAGAGCCAAAACAGCGGCGTTGTACAATTCTCCGCGCGAGATGTCGAGGGTGGAAGAAAGTCAAGCGTCAGCGACGAAAACGGTGACCAAAGTGCCGGTGTATCGGGCCGTCAGCCGTGAACAGCCCATAAGTTCGATGATGTCGTCACAGTTTGTGTCGTCACTCGCACACTCTCAAAAGTCGCAGTCGAAATACGATAACGTCAATGACGAAAGTGATGAAGAAGCGAAAGGGATGCAGCAGCTGAAAAGCCACTCGGGTGCTTCTAATCAACTCGTGAGGCAAGGACACGTCGAGGAATACGACAGCGATGAAGTTTACGAGTCTCCAACGACCTACGATGTGGGGAACAGTACTGAGAACAAAAAACCAGTCATCGTCCCAACATTTTCTGCTGTATTTGGCTCGGTTTCGCCTAAACTGAAACGACATTTAGGAGGAAAAATCAACGAAGCCAGCACAAATAGGGAGCAATCAGGGGTGAATAAAGAGGTGAAGGGGGCTGGGAACTCCAGCCAACAAATTTCTGGGATAACGAGTAAGAATGAGGAAATGTTGACCAGAGCCACCATTGATTCACAGAGCGGCACCAAGCATGAGCTTATTGCTTCTGACGTTCGTTCTTTCTCCCTGGACACCGCTTGTGATATCCGGGGTCAGAAGGTTAAGGATCAAAGGTCGCCCTTAGATGGCCGCGAGGTGTTAGATAAACAAGGAATTTATGAATCCGCTGACATGAGAGGTGCCAGGGTTTCGGTAAAGAAAGACAGTAGCCCGAAAGTGTCGGTGAGAGAACGAATCAAGACGATCAACAAATCTTTGTCAGAAGGCTCAGGGCCGCCAGGTACGTCAGCTGGGGCTGTTTCTATTAATAGCACTACCAATAAAATGGGGTCGGTCGACTCCAGCGATTCCAGTGAGAGACTTTCGTCATCACCGTATCACCGTGTTGGGGGAGAGGGGGCGATTCACGGCAGGCCCGTAATCCCCCCTTTTCCTGTGGGTGCCATTTTATCACCAACAGAAAGCACCGCTTCTCCATCTCTCTCTTCTACTGCTAGCGTTAAAACTGGAGCCAAGTCACCGTCTATTTCTGGCAGCAGCACTGCAGCACTCAGAAGTCCCCCGGCACCCCCTACGTCCTGCAGTAAAAAACCCACATCGCCGACCCTCGGCAACGACTATAACCCCTCGCACTCGCCTCGGCAGCAGCAGATTATGAAGAACAGCGACGCGTCCGCCGCGAGGCAGCACGAACATCCGCAAACGCGCTCGGGCGTCGTGTACTCACCTGGTGGCACGCGAAAACATTCCATAGAGCACGTGGTCTTTGGCTCTGCCGTTGCCCTCCCCTGCCGCCTGTACGCCCAACCTATGTCCTCCTCCAGCCTGGAAGAAAATAACGAGCATAAAACCGCCATCGCGCATGCTCACGACCCACTTTCTTCATCCCCCGCCTCTTCCCCTCCCCAGAACCAAAACCAAAAGAATAGGAATGTGGCGAAAAACCAAACACGAACGGGTGAAGGAGATAAGAAGGAAATAACTTCCCCACACAACTCTGCTAGCTTATCGGAAACCGCGACCGGTTCTACTATCAGTGATAGGTGTAGTGGTGTAAGTGAAACTTTAAGAACAATACTGGGGCGGGTTCCCTCTGAGCGGAGCCAGGATACGGTAAATAATAACAACAGTAATAATAGTATCAATGATAATAGCCAGTTAGAAGCTTCGGTTGAGAATTCAGGACTGATTGATTGCAGTGATGGTGTTAAGGCCACGAGTGATGCCAAGCCGTTCATCAACAATGAGGCGTCGGCGAGGATAATAAAAGTGAGTGTTCAGTCTCAACAGGCGGCGGTTAGTGAAACTCGTTCGTTCAAGGAAACTCATTTTCCCGAAACCGGTGATGTTTTCAATGATGGTGAGGATTATGTGGACAGCAACCACAACCACAACCACCACCAACACCACAACGTAGGAGGTTTTCAGCGCCAGAAACAGTACCAACAGCTGCAGCAGCAACAGCAACAACATGAATACAAACCGCAGTACAGAGAAGACGACGAGCAGAAGTATGTGGTCCTACGACAGCCCGTGTCAAAGGTCATCTGTGATATGATCAGCACCAGCAAGCAGGGTCACAGGAGCAGTCCACAACAGCCGCTTCTACGTCAGTCGAGTCCCACGTCACCGGAACAGGAAAGACACGCACCGCAAGCGGTTGCCATGGTTACCTCGCCAGCTCACCAGCAGCCGTGTTTGACCCTCGAAGAGAAAACCGTCCGAAGTGATAGTTCTGTGTCGCTGCCCTCCTCCCCGATTTGTAACTTGAAGAGAATAGAGAGAGATTTTGGTGGTGAAAGTGCGGAGAGAGTGACGAAAACCTTGAACTTTGAGTCTCGAAGCGCTGGTTCGCAGACAGACTCGTACTCAACTGCCGACAAAGGGGTTGAAAGTGCTGACTTTGAAATGTACGCCCAAAACCTTAGCGCCGCGGAAGGGCCCTCTAAATCGCCTGACAATATTATTAAGTCTGCCAGTAATGCCACGAGCAGCTCTGAAGTCGTCAGACCAAAATTTATTAAAGTTCCGGAGGATTCTGATGAAGAAACAAAGTTCTTGAAAAACGTGTTGGCTTTTAAGAGAACGGATGTGCCACCGAAGAAAGAATGTGTCGCTAAAGTGACAGATGGAGATCCTGTTGAATTCATGCCTCCACCTCCTAGTCCTTCTGCTATGGACCAACTGATAGAAGAGTTTGAGGAGGAAGATGAAGACGATGACGTTCAGGAAAGGAAAGAAATTGAGATCGCCATGCAAAAGGAATCGGAGATACGAGAATTCACGGATAAAATTTATAAAAGGCTCTCCGATTTATTGGGGAGTCATTCAGGAGGAGAGGATATTGACGACGATGTATTCGAAGATGACCCTGGGGGTAGAGAAAAAGTAGTGCGGAAGAAAAGACACGTGGACGAGTTACTGTCCAGGTTGGAAGGTAAAAGTGAGGAGGAGTGCGAGGAGGAGGGAGAAGAGGAGGAGGAGAGTGGGGAGTCTTTTGAAGACGAAGAAGATGAACAAGATGCACAGATAGCTTCTGAGCGTATTGCCGCGAAAGCGGTAGTGACGTCGACAAAAAGCCCGAGCACGAACCGAACAAAGAAAGTGATGACAATTAAATCGTCTTCGTCTTCAATCACGACGACAACGTCATCATCAGAAGACGAAGAAGTAGCGGAAAAATTGGCGCTGACCAACTTGATGCTACAGCAACAACAACAGCGAGAGGAGGATAGGGAGGGGAGAGTGGAGGAGGAGGAGGAGGAGGAGGAGGAGGAGGAAGGGGAAGAGGATGAAGAACAGGACGAGACTCTACACAGTTCGGACACACTAGGGTTTGAAGAGATAGAAGGCGCTCCCAAACTAAAGACAACTCCTAACTATTTCGTTTTCCCAGAGTTCGACGGAGAGGGCAGCGATGGAGGAATGGATGACAAGAGGCGCTACAGCAGTTCCAGGGACTACCACAGCGACGATGACGTGGCCCGAGGGCAGGGAATTCCCGATTATTACGACGACCGTCCACTCTGGCGACGGAAAGAGAAGCCGCCTGGTCAGCTGTCTCTCGATATGGTTGCTATGCGACGTCGTGAGCGACGGGAGCGCTGGTTGAAGAAGCGTCGGCGTAACAAAACTGACCTTTTGAGTGCGGCCAGTAGTGACACTGGGTCTGAGACGTCGCTGGTCAAAGTCCACCCTCGTTTGCGAAACCAGCAGTCGTCACTCGATTCTGTCGAAGCCGAACGTATGTTGCTGGTGGACACAGCGGCTGAGCCTCGAAATGATATGGGTTCGGGAATTCTGTCTTCCCCGAAGTACGCCAAGCCTATCCTTCCTTTCTTCAACAAGGACAAGGTGGCTGAGCGAGGAACGCGAGGGGCGGAAGAAGTGAGGGAGGAAAGAATCGAAGCAAGCATTATCTCTGAACGTCTTCAGGCGACGGCTGAATACTCTCATCTTCTCCGTGACAGCTATGGTGACGATGGTCACAACGATGACAGTTACTCTCGTGACCGAGGTCGTCGACCACGTGATTCATTTGAGAAAGACAATAGCAGCGACGGTGACGATGGTTTTGAAGGAGGCAGGGCCACTGAGAGTGGACGCGCGCTGGATTCTGGGAAGGACCCGCGCGCCTTCATGTCAGATCCTGACTTGGCGATTCCAGGAATCGAGGAGACTTTCAACGAGCTTATGTCGGTGAAGCATATCTTAGAGGGAATGAGTGACCGAGCTCCATCCGCTCCTACTGGCGAGGCTTCAGAGAGGGAGACGAAATTTATGCCCTTGACCAAAGAAAATGTGCGGTCAGTAAGGGAATATTATAAGGACACGTATTCTTTTAATAACGGCGGTAGGCGGTCCAGAATGTCCAACACGGACAGGACGGAATCGGATCTCGATATTTACTCGGAAACACACGACGATGCTAGTTCTGATAGCAACATGTACGCGGATGATGAAGAGGACGATGATGGTATCGATCCTTACACCACGGCAGACGACGAGCTAGGCGCGACAGGCGGAAGTGAGAGCGACATCATGCTTACCGGAAATCGACGTCGTCGCCGAGACAACCACGCCCTCCATACGAACGAAGATGACGAGGACGACGATGAAAACGCCAATTTTGTCATCGGATGTACGTTTTACAACTCCAACACGTTTTCTCCATCCACCCCCGCCGTCGGTTCTAATGGGAATGGTGCCAACCAAGTATCACCCTCTGTAATGTCGTCGAACGCTGTGATTGGCTCGTCCGGAAAAGTCACTCCCTCCACACTGACTGGCACCTCCCCTTCCACCCCAGCGACACTCGTGGCGTCTGTGCTGAACAGCGACGAAGAGTTCTGGGCGGGGAGTTCTGCCATCGAGGCCAGCTACCAACAGCTCGAGACCGCGGCTGACGCAGTCAGTTCAACATTCCAGAACGCCAGAGAACAAATGATTGACATTCAGCAACACCTACAGGCGCTGAGGAGACAGATGGAAGGTTTACAGGATGACCTGACCAGCACTTCCGTCACACTCACTCCGGACAACCTGTCGTAGACGTCGTGCTTACTTCCCTGATGACACGATAGACAGTATCCATAACCTGAGTGTGCATACGATATGACTCTGTCCATGTTAAAATGATAGAGTTGTGGATTGTGACGTCATTCGGCATTAAAACGTCTCTGAGAACGTACTATGCATGACGTCACACTGTAACTTTTGTCTTCGACGATTCGTGTCGTATGCTCACGCGCTAGCCCTCCTACTGTAGTATATTTGTGACGTAGCACAGATATTGTGTAACAATGATGTTCTGTTTCTCTCCCTTTGAACTGCAGAAGAAAAAACACTTGGCCATATTGTGTCGAACCGTTTTGATTCCTAATATATTCACACCTATTGCAGGACGTGAAGAACACCAACACTAAACATAGATACTCATATTTGTAAACCTGTTACGCCCCCATCAACACCATTTAGATCATAATTTAGGACGCGGGTTACATCGTATTTTCTTGTCAGCGCCAACACGGGCTACGAGGGATACAACATCCCAACAGACCCACGAACATGGTCAATAAAATTACTTCTATTTGATAGAGAAACAGTCTGCCTCGTTACAAGCGCTTTATCCAGTAAAGGGGATTAGGTTATGAATAAGATCCTTGTCTGTACTGTACACATGTGTGTCAATTTGAAATTCGTGTCGTGACCTCATTCAGTGTCGAAGGTCAAGGAAAACCCATGTTGTTTCCTTTGTAACTTTGATAGGAGCAAATGTCACGATACAGAGCTCAAAACTTCACGACAATGACAATTCCCATTGCATGTAGTCCTCCGTACTACCTACTTCGACAAAGGCCTTTTTGGTGTATGCTGTGAGGTATCCATATTAAGGAAGTTTCCAGAAGACTATCACTTTTGGAATAAATTATATTAATTATCTGGACACCCCACAAAATGTACACTGAAAAGGATCTAGATGATCCTGAACAGCCATTCCATAGGTTTACAAAATATTACTTGCTTAAAAACATCCGATTCCAAACGAATGTTTCATTTTTTTTATTCCCTCTCTTCCTATTTGCTTTAAAATTGTTTCAATTCTTCTTTCTTTATGTGGAGGTTAGAAGAAAAATACAATATTTTTTTGCAATTACTCTCTTGAAAAGATATCCATCTTTTTGCTCACGATAAACGATGCGCTATTGATTCGAACACGAATAGATAGCGCTGAGTTTTCTTATTTTAAAAAAAAATTGAAAGCGATTTAGCAACTAAGGTTCTCCCGATGAATCTGATAGTTGGACAATTTTCTAAACCATAATATTACCCAAGTTATCAGCAGTAATCAGTTTGCAGTCTTTTTATTGTGATACGCGCAAAACTGTCAGCTCTGTAACCGCTCAAGTGACTCAAAGCACGGGCCACTCGTATTTTATGTTCCCTTGGTCAGGGTGGTAAAAAACCAACAACAACAAAAACTGTACAAACTTTACAGTTAATATTTTCCTCCACACTGGAGTTTTTCTTTTCAAATTTGTGCGCAACATTTGGAAGTCAAAAGGAATTTGTGTGATATATATTATATTCATTTTAGATAAATCCACAGAATAGTTTTGCTCCACATAGCGTGTGAAAGAACAACCCATTTTCAGGTGTGTCCCCATTTTTATAGTATGATGCACTAGTTCGCATAAGGCCTACACAAAAAATCCCAACGATTTCGCCATGTTGCAAACTACAGTAGTCTAACAGACCAACAGAAGTTTGCAGAGAGTTTTTCTCAAGTTTCCTTTGCCTGCTGAGATCATGGTTAAGATTAGTTAAGAGCAGAGAGCTTTTTGTATTGAATATTCCTCACCACCAACTCATTTCGTAAGTTTTGCACAAGGTACGGAAATAATGTTAAAGTTAAAGTGCCCGAAAGGCCTTCTTTGATGTTATCAGTTAGGACCTGTAAAGAATCAAACACACGCCGTTGCACCCCTTTAAACGTCATCAGGGTGCAGAATTCAGTAGATGAGCCCCATGACACGTATGTCAGTAGACGATGTCTGCAGCAATGACTTTCCTAAATCTCAACGGTCCGCATTTTCAAGGTAGATCTTTATCTACAACTGTACCATTTTCCCGTTCGCGAAGCTACCGGAGGATGGTCATGATTCCTCGATCGTCTCGAAAAGAGTGAACATTTCCTCTATGACATTTGGTTCTTTGGCAAAGCCCATATTCAACTTTCAGGTTATATTAACTCCACAAATGCTGTCTATTTGTGCAACTTCAACCCCCCCCCTTTTTTTTTTGGTCTCTAGAAACAACTCCATACTGTAAGATGTACAGTGTCTGTGGCTTTGAGTACTCATGGTTGAGGGGATCCTTGTGTTTGGCCACCAGTGAACATAACGAACGATTTTTTTTTGATGTGTCGAGTCCAAAGAATGACATAATAATAGACCATTTATTGTTCTCAGAATTCCGGAATTTAAAAAGGGATTTTAATTCTGTAAGAGGAAAGAAACATTGTTTAAAGGTTACAGGAATGGAAAGATTAGATTTTTTTAATGAAAGGAAAGGGAAAAAAACCCAATCATTTCAAGACTTTCCTTACAAGATCTGTTAAATTGGTACATTTTTCATTTATAGGTAGTTTTTACAAAAGCCATTTCTGTTGTCGAAAAAAAGTTTCTTTCTTTTATGTCAAACAAATTCCTTTTGAATGAATAATTATATCTGTTCCAAATTACAACATGCACGTACTAGTACTAATTTTGTGCGGATTTTTAGAAAAAATGTTGTACAGTTTTTTGCTGGCTTTTTTTTTACCACCCTGTTGTTAAAAAACATACCTTCACACCCAAAAGCAGTGTCCTCTCTAATCGTGACCTTACCGTCCCCTTCCGATAGTGAGTGTGTCATGCAACATGGACCAAATAGCGGTGGGGAGGCTTACAATTCAGTTCTCTGCCACCGGGCATGTATACTGCATCGCACTGGCTTTGTGGAAACGTCGAGGAGCATCAGTTCAACCCCGGACTTGTTCTAGTTCAATCCTGATGTAATGAGTTTCTTTTAGTTTTAGTAAGAGATTTACGGAACTTGCGACACAATAAGGGCCCGTGAGATTAGGGGTGTTACTAAAAAAAAAAAACAAAGGAGGAGGAGCTCAACAGATGTTTGAATATATGTGAAAGAAGGAGAAAGCGACACAAGGGCACCCGCCAGTCACCCATGCGTTGTCGTGTGTTTTCAATGATCGCCTGGTTGTCCCAGACACTTTGCCTGGGCGTGCTTTATGTTGACTTGTGACCTCTTGGCGCTTCCTCTGGTGATCTCTTGGTGGGATGGCAAAGGTCCCGACTACTTGGTTATTCATAGATGAGGCCCCCACTGGTGGGTCGTTTGTGGTGGTATGGTTTAGGCCCCCACAGGTGGATCCTTCATTGCGGGATGGTTGTGGTCTCCACAAGAATGCCCTCCATTTAGTTCACATTAATTCAACTGGTGTGCTCCATAGTGAACTAGAAATACGCAAGAGTACACGATCTAGGATATTATAAAGCAGGTCAATGTCAAAGTTACTCATGCATCACGGATTCGAAAAAGTCCGAGGGTTGTCGACCCTGAATATTCTCACCTTAGTTCCCTTTCTACCCGAGACAGATAATCCCACTGACCACAATATAAGATAAAATATTATACAAGTCGAACTAGGCTTCCGAACTAAGACTGATCATTTCTCAGGCCGCGGACGTTTCATTTGATGACGCAACCGGTTGTCACCAATAAATTATGCGTCCAGTGGTTTGCAGGAAAAGATCTCAACGCCGCCAAGATAACTCTGAACAAGCACTCTCTTGTGTGTGGCTGTGTGACAAGTGACTGTATTATGTACTATTTTCTTGTCTAGTTAAAGGCATTCACATCAATATAATACCGACAGCCTTCATTTTCTCCGGGTATTTCTCGCTGTTGTGGCTTAATTTAAATCCATATTATTAGTAGTAGTTTTATTTTACTATTATTATTTGGGCCTCTATGTTGACCTGTTTGAATAACTATACTATAATCAATGTGATTTGTTTGGCTCCTAGTGTCGCTTTTTTAAAAACCAACCTGAACAGCAAACACACAGACGTAGCAAGCTTGCTGTTTGTGATACTTTATGTACATTGACTGAATTCTCTTGCTGCTACCCCACGTCTTCCAATTGTAAAGTTTTGAAAAGTGAGTTCAGAGAATAGAACTAATGTAAACATTATGAATGCAGAACTTCGCTTGTGGTAATCCCATGCTATACAACCTTATAGTCTTTGGAGAATGTGTTGCTCTCGTAGTAAGAAGAGAATTGCAAATATATACAAATAATTGGGAGTTCATTTAGATATTATATATATATTATAATTTATAATCTTTACTTTTTTCTTTTGTTTTTGATGTTTTTTCCTTTCTGGTAATTTGTTACACGCGTGATGGAAACATTGTAGCACCCACTCGATACATCTAAAGTGTCTTTTAGTAAAACATTCAGAACTGTAATGACAAATTCCACACACATTTTCTTTCCACACCCCGCTAAGAACCCCCCCCCCCCCCCCAAATTATCCGTCCCCTTATTTTTCCTGTTTTTATGTCTCCGGCATATTTTGTTATTAAAATCTCGTCAATTCCGATTTGGAAGTCTTACCGCAGTGCCTTAAGTTATGCGATGCCTTCTTAGAACTTTAGAGATTTTTGTGCAGCCTTTACCAACTACTATGCACATCTCTCTCTCTCTCTCTCTCTCTCTCTCTCTCTCTCTCTCTCTCTCTCTCTCGCTCGCTC